TAATCAAACTATTAATGATGATTTGTAATACCATATATCTTTTTTTCATTTCATTACAGTGCAATGTTTTGTCATATCTTAGAACTGGTAGAAACCTGTTTTGTGCGTTATAATATAATAGAATATAATATAATTGTTTAATGTCATTATACATGTACAATGAGATAAATAAATGCTTCTCCCTTTCAAGGGTGCCATCAAAACAAAACAAAAAAAACATCAAAACATAAGACAACAAATACACGCAGCATACATACCAGAAAGGATCATTCTTGTTCACATTGGTTAAATGACAGATTGATGGTTGTCATTGTTTAATGCTTTATGGAACATGGGTTCTCCAAATGCGCAGAGCAAGACAAGGAAAGATGTTGAGAAATCTACATGAAGGAGTATGTTGTTGTAAAACTAACCACATATGTTCTACTTAGGTTGGGGTAAGACCAAATGTTTGCACACCTCACATCTTATTAATACCACCTCATTGCACAGAAGCAGAATCAACAATTATTATTATTATTATCCTTCATTTTATCCTCAAAATTAGCTTGGCTGAAAAAATATATGAATCAATTATTATATATGTTATATTATTACCTATTATTAGGTATTAACTATGCTGGGTGTGTTGTGCTTATAGGCTAAGGATCACATTAGCAATGAATCTTTATTGTTTTATCCTTGACCTTTATGTTGTGTTTGACTAGATGGCCTTCTTCTAGTAATGTCAAATAAACTAAAGTACGATCGTCTATATAACGGTGTGTTTTTTAAGCCTCCCAGATCCCAGCAATTAACTCTGTGACAGTGCTGTTATTCCTGACAGCCACGATGTCTAAAAATACACAAAAACAAGACACAAATTACAATTAACTAGAAGTATTCTTAAAATATGGCCATGCCAAAAACAAATAATCTGAATTTTATATTTTTGGAGAAGAAATAAGAGATAGAGGGAGACGAGCACAGGAAGAGATGGAGAGAGAGAGAGAGAGAGAGAGAGAGAGAGAGAGAGAGAGAGAGAGAGAGAGAGAGAGAGAGAGAGAGAGAGAGAGAGAGAGGGAGAGCAAGAGAGCGAGTTGGGAGCTGGGGATGATTTCTCTAGGGATGAAGGATGCAAGTGTGTGTGCGTCAGTGTGTGTATTAAGGGTGTAGGGGGGTTGAGAAGAAGAAGGGGGGGGGGACTAGAGAGAGCGAAGGGAGAATGAGCGAGCGAGTCAGGCAGGGGGATGAGAGAGAGGAGGAGGGCGGTGGAGGAAAGCGAGGCAGAGCTGATTGAGATTCGGCCTCCAGAGCTGCTCTGCTGCTGCTGGGAGCTCAGGGAGAACACGCTCCGTTATTGGAATTCTTTTTTCTTTTTTTCTAATGAATTAATTCTTCTCATCCAATTTAGGTGAAGATGAAAAGAGAGCAGCGCTTCGAGCATCAAATTTAGCTTTTTGTTGACCGGGGCTGTTCTGTTTCTGTTCTGTACGGTTCATATCGGACACTCGGATAATATATTAGGTTTTTTTTGTGTGTTTTTTTGTCCGTTAAAGCCTTGTTTACAAAAAGCAAACAACAGATACAGAGAAAAAGACATTTCCTGAGTGTGTTATTGGGGATGTTTCATTACCATTTACTGATATGATAAGACAAAGAGCCCCCCCCCCCACACACACACACCAATAATTAATTAGTCAGGTTATTTGTTTTGTAGAAAAAATGAAATTCATTTTCACAAAATAAGATAAAAACAGATTAAATGACTTTTTGCAGCGATGTTTTTGAAATTCACTTTGAAGTCTCACAAAGCCCCTGGCCGGTCAGCTACAAAGATAATTTCTCACACACACACACACACACACACACACACACACACACACACACACACACACACACACACACACACACACACACACACACACACACACACACACACACACACACACACACACACACACACACACACACAGAATAATCTCCACTCAAAATGTAAAGAAAAAGGGAGAAGACCTTATGAAACCCCCTAAATACAAACACACATGTGGGCAGTCATGCATGTAAAGACACACCCTCATACACACAGACATACAGTACCTGTCTCATCAGAAAATATACTAAGATTTGACTTTTGATGCTAAATAAGTGTCGAGCAGCACACTAATGAACTACATTTGGATGTTTAAATGCATTTTTTGTTAAGCGTTGTACAAGGGTAAGTGTAAAGCAAAATTGTTGGATAATTTGTTCCAAGCTGATTTACACTATGACCCATTTGAGCTTATTACAAATATATCATGAGCGTATTGAATTAAGTAAAACAAATGCATAAAATATAAATGTTTCTTTATATTATATCTATGTGAAAGGAAACAATATCTGTCATTGTCAAACTTGTTTAACCCCTTAAAGAAATATCAATACCCCGAAAACGTAAAATCTATTTTTTAAACAGCTCAATTACATAAACATTTAGTTTCTCTTACTCAAAAAGACATAAGACCAAAATAGGCGAATCAACGCTTTAGTGTCAAATAAAATTACAAATGATGCCAAGAAATAATTAGTCAAGTTTGTTTGTATTGTAGTAAAACATGTAATTCATTTTCAGAAACTAAAATAAAAACAGATTAAATGACTTGCTAAAATGGAGATTTTTTCGCAGCGATGTTTTTGAAATTCACTTTGAAGTCTCACAAAGCCCCTGGCAGGTCAGCTACAAAGATAATTTCACACACACACACACACACACACACACACACACACACACACACACACACACACACACACACACACACACACACACACACACACACACACACACACACACACACACACACACACACACACACACACACACACACACACACACACACACACACACACACACACACACACACACACGAGGGCATAGAGCTGTTTAATGTCAGAACAATCCAGAGTGGTGCTGCAGCTCAGGGTTCATGGTACATGGGATCCCTTTAGCTCGTCTGTCAGATATCTGGCTTCAGATTCATTTAGAGCGTCAGCAGAAGAAGAACAGCGTCAGCGAGCCATCGGATCACACTGCGGTGAAGCAGATATTCACTCGCAGGGGGAAACTCTCCCAAAAGACAAAAGCAGATGAGCTCAGCTTTAGAGCTTCAGGAAGACCTCGGTGTCAGGTATGGATTATCTCACCTGTGCTACCCCAGCTTCTGTCTGTGCTTCACTTATACAGCAAACTACACTGTATAAAGATCTCATTCATGTCCCCCCAGCTTTACCTTTGTAGAACCTGAGGCTTCAGAATATGTTTCTAACATGAGAAATGCCACTGGAGTTTTGGGGTCTGGGAGAAGGCCAAACGCTGGTAAGTAAAGAGGGGAATGGGTTTGTGTGACATTTCCCTTCAAAAAAAAGGGTATAATGCTCAATTTCAAGTTCATATTTTTATTTTCGTGTCTCTATTTTTGTGCTTTAATGTTCAAAAAGCTCTTTATTTCTCTCATACTGCCTGTGCTGCAGCACCTCTTTTCACCCTCTGTCTGAAACCAGAGCCCAGTCTGCTCTGATTGGTTAGCTGGTCGGCTCTGTTGTGATTGGTCTACCTACACTTAGTGATTTCCCGCCATGTGCAATGTGCTGGAGCGCTAGCCAATAGAAGAGCGAGTGTTACAAAGTGATGTCACTATGTCACGGTAGTAAACAAAGAAGTCAAATGGAGGCGTTACAAGGGGAGGGAACACAGGGATCTTAGCCTTTTAGACCATTAACTTACTTGCTCAAAAAACTATAAAACACATTACACAAAAGGGAAAACCCCAAAAAAGCATAATAGGGCCATTTAATTCTCGACTCTGATGCATAAATATTGAGTAATTATTATTTCAGATGATGTTTTCCAGATAGAACGTAGTGTAAAGTCAATATGAAAGGTTATTTTTTAGTAATGTAATTGTAAAGGATAGGTTCACACTTTCTCAAGTCTCTCCTAATTAATATTCAGCTGCCTGTAGGCTGTAATGATCTTCCTGTCCATACGGGCTCTAAGGAGATCCCTTCCTTCCTTAAGTGACTGTGGATGTAGTCCCCATCACTTGAAGTTGAAGCTCATTAAAAAGGGATCTCTTTACGGCCAGACGGAACCGGAGGAAAAATCCCAGCTAGTGTCACAAATAAACGAGGGCAAAGGGCATAATTGACACCTCCTTCAAGATATTGCACCAAAAAAACGAATCAAGGGGGACAAAAACAAATGAGATTGTGTTTGTAAAACGCCTTCAAAATGTAAATAATGTTCACACCTTATTATCGTTTCAAGACAGACTTGAAAATGTTTTGTACTTGTCCAACAAGGCATAATATTCTACATGAAAAGTGTAGATTATTGATGAAGACTCACCGTGCAGAATAAATACATTGTTTTTAAATATCACCTAATGTCCTTCAATCTTTGGGGTCCAGTTAAACTCACATTTCTCCAGATCAGGATTACAAATACAGAATTTAATTCAACAAATATTTAGAATATAGAAAGTGTAGGTTAATATTCCCAGCAGTACAGTTAACAAGTAGTTACATTGTTCTCATAAAAGTGATGAACACATTAACGCATCACTAATTAATATCACAGAAATAGTTATATTGTAATATTATGAGATGGTTTTTCTGCATAATGAGTAATTTTGGTAGTTTAATTAAAATGTCATGCTAATATAATTGTATTAATATTAAGATTTTATATCCAGGTATTACAAGTAAGTAAATATCAGACAAATTATTCGCTCAGAGTTCTTCAAAGTGAACCGAAATATGGTTTCAATATTAAATAGATGCAGTACAATATATGTCTCCATATGTGTTACTGAGGCCACCCGTTGTGACTTGAAAACACTGGGACAAAATGACATGGAGAGAAAAAACAATCAAAGGGTGTAAATACATTTGATCTTTAACCAGTTAAACACCTCGGCTGCTCCATTATCATAGCCTCTGATCAATTATTCATGGAGGAGACGCTCGGGGTCAGGTGTTACCTTTGTAAACATTGGCTTCCCGTGCTGCGTGACCATGGTGCACTGATCGCAGTCCAGCGTGATGCAGGAGTTGTGGAAGGACTCCTTGGAGTGTTTGAGTATGTAGTGCAGCTCCGTCACCCCCCCCTCGAACACCGTGCTGAAATAACGGGGGATCAGCGTCCGGCCGATCGCTGCGAGGAGACAAAGGAGAAGGCAGGATGAGAAAACAAATCTGAAACACTTATTTATCCCGGGGGAAATTGGATTGCGAAACAGTTGCTCAACTACATAGGAGTTGATGAGAGAAAATGCAGAAGATACCATGGTATATAACAACAATATGTATGGTCAATGTGTTTACAATATATACTGTAGTAAATGTGTATATCACAATATATTTGTGATATATAACGCTAACGCTAGGCCTAATTTACTACTTCTACATTACTCTTCTAATTAGACATGTTTTCCGACAAAACCTCTTCTTTCAATTAAACAATGCAAGCCACACTTTACAAATATGAATTACACAAAGCATAAAATATGTATAAACCGTATACATTAGGAACTGTCTAATCAAATAATTGAGTTACTATAATACACACTAATACCTGTACAAGTGTTACGACTTATAATAGTAGCAGTTCAGTTTAATGTTGCAAAAGCTATGTTACAATATTTATGAAACAATAATAGCATAGATAGCATATAGAGAGATTATATATGACTTACTTATTACAACAAAAAAAACAGACATTAAATGATATTAAAGGTTTGTTTATGTGTTAAGATAAGAATCAGCTTGATAAGGACATTCATTCATCAGGATACATATTTGATTGGCTGTCAAAAGCTCCTTGGAGGCAGAAACTGATCAGATGTTCAAATGAATGAAATAGATGAAATATTTGAGAGTAAAGATGTTCTGCTCGTCCAATCCGACACATTTTCTTTCATAAAAATCATTCTGGGAACAGAGGAGAGACTGTAGAGTGCGCTGTGTATTGATTTGACTTTAACCTCTGTGCTCATTACAGCTGTCTGCTTGTAATACTGCCAATGTCAGTTTTTCAGTGCATTTCATTAATATTATTCCCTTTGTCAGCCTCATTAACAGCATTATAAAAGGACTTAACAATAAGTGCACAACAATTAACCCACACAAATGTTTTTGGGGGGAGGAAGCTGATTGATATCGCTGCTAAGACTATGCTATCGAGCTGTAAACGCTCTACTGATTGTGGTCAATTTATGAATGCAACAGGCGCTTTATTGATCTGCAGAAACTATTGGATTGCCTGAAACGAATCGATTAGCTGAGCAGCCCTCAGAAAACCTGTTCACCCTGCAAGAAATATCCAAATCCTTTATCCTTAGATTGAGTCTTATTTCTCTCAGATAAATCTTCCAGTGCAGCGAGGTCAATTCCACTCTTTCCAACACTTTCCAAACATCTGACAACATCATGCATTTTTGCCTCTAAATCCACTTCTAACAAGTTATGACACTTCATAGAACACATCGCTCACTTTTGAATATTCCTCATAGGAGCGCAAGCAGGAAAGTATTTTCTCATATTGTTGAGAATGATATGATTCCATGACTAAGTTTGGTATTAAACTGAATTATTAAGACGGACAACTTCTGCAGAGCAAACTTTTTGCAGAAGCCTGAAGAGACAATGAACAAGCTGCATGATGAAAACTGGAGGAGGAGTCGGGGAGGGAGAGAGTGACTTCAGAGTTTCACAGCCCTCGGGCTTCGTCTGGTTTCTATCTGCTCTGTTGGCTGGCTTCAAGGAGAAGAATGGAAGATACAGAGCCAGAGAGAGGCTTACATTTCACATTTCATTATGGATGCACTGTTATGGCATGCAAAACAAAGACTCCTCAATATTCGAGATAGTATTTTTTTGTATGAAATTATGTTCTTAAATAAGCTTCTGACTTACGATTATGAAAATATTAACGGTAAATCTCGCCTATAGGCTATAGTTCATGTGGGTTTAAAACAAATTACGTTTGCACAGCATCAACAAATAAAATGTTTTAGCAACAGATTTACACCCAAACTTCAGCTTATCCTGACATCTTTCCACCAGATCAGAGTGCAGGAAGTCTAATTTATGTATATATAAGGGCTGCTTCATTAATCAGAGTTGTATGCTAATGACAAAGAACAACTTCATAGGTTTTTAGATTGATTTAACCCTCCTATTGTCTTCGTTTCCCCCCCTTACTTTGGTGTTCGCGGTCAAATTTGACCGGTCCTGTTTTAACTGATATTACATTAACACAAAAACCATTAATCATCACCACATTGAATTTAACACCCTTTCAAACTGTACATATTGTATCAGACTACTGGTATACATGAACAACTGCAGTAAATATACAAAGAATAGACACTGAACATGTATTGCGTGTGCCAGGTGTGATCCATGTGGGGGGATGGGCACATAAGAGCGGGAAATGTGTCAAATTGTTCTGTGTGTGCGTGTGTGTGTGTGTGTGCGTGTGTGTGTTTGTGTGTGTGTGTGTGTGTTTGTGTGTGTGTGTTTGTGTGTGCCAGGTGTGATTCACATGGGGGGATTGGGCACAAAAGGGGGGGGACACATCTAGAGTATGTGTGTGTATGTGTGTGTGTGTGTGTGTGTGTGTGTGTGTGTGTGTGTGTGTGTGTGTGTGTGTGTGTGTGTGTGTGTGTGTGTGTGTGTGTGTGTGTGTTTGTGTTGTATCTGATCCGGATGGTTACTAATTCCTTTTCTTTATGGCGGTCATTTACACCATGCTGTGTTACAAAGTTGACTAAATCCTCCAAAATTCAATGAAAGTGGTGATCAGCAATTTGATATGTTCAAATGTCTACTGTGAAGAATATCATAAAGCCTTAATGCAATTGAATGTAAAACAAAAAAGTTGATGAAAGTAGTAAATCGGTCAGATTTGACCCGAAGACAACAGGAGGGTGAAATGAAACCATGAATCATTGATCCAAATCCAAATCTCCATTTCAAACGTCCCAAACAATAATGTCCCTTTAGGAAAAAACAAATTAAAGAAGAATTTGTCACTTTTTTCTTAAAGAAAACTAATTCATGATTACTTTTCAGTTATTCCATAGATTTGTATTTCAATTTATCATTTGATCTATCTATTTTTGTCTGACAGAACAAAATCAATTCAAATAGATTGCTGTCATAAAACATGTCAGGAATAACCCAATAATCACACTGAATGTTATGTAATGTTTCCAGAAAACATGACGGAAAATTATTGAACAATTATGCTTTTTTTCTATCATTAGACTTACTGATAATACACAGATTGTATACTGCACGAAGCAAAAGTCTTATAGTCAATACTTCATTACATGACTAGTTAAGACGGGTATTTGGCAGTGTAGGCAGAGCTTTATTTCAGAGCTTGGAAACAATAATGTGAGTCGAAAGTGGAAAATGAGATGTTAATGCACAGGATTGACTGTGAATATAGAGCGAGATCGTCTTCTATGCACAACTTAATATGTAGATCAGGGATTCTGCCCCGCTCTAAAGAGAAGCTGCGTCAAAAAGCCTTCACTCGGGACAAGAGATGCAGGGCTGGGTTTCCGGTTTGTTACTTGTTGAACAGCCGTGCAGAACAGAGCGTCTGCACACCGCCCCTCAGCAGCACATTGCTACCATAAGAGCTTTTATTTGTCAAGCTATAGGGTTCCTGCTGAACACAGATACTGGTTTTCACACCGCCCTGCTGCACACATACATGCCTTTGAGCCGCAATGCAACCTCAGGCTTCATCCAAACATCACCGGGCAGTTCCACTCCAACAACTCCACTTGCTCAAGGGCAGGGCCGACAGTTACTGAAGGGCAAAGAGACTCTCATTCACTTAAATGCATGGGGGGGGGGATCTGAACTGGTGATGATATTTGCACCACTGGCTGCAAACTTTTAGTGTCCTAAGATCCCATCTTTACTTTTGGAAATGTTTTAATTTGATTTGACTGATACATAATACTGATAATGCTCACCAATGTTTCTTGTATATCATATCATGAGCTTCACTGGTCACACAGTTTGAGTAGATAATCAAGTAACAGAAGGGTATAGGAGCTTGCATTCGTGAGGAGGTACCAGTGAAACAAAATAATGTGATTCAACAGATATGAAAAAGCCATGTTTATTATGCAATGTGACAAGATTTTAGTGTCAACTAGTGTTACAGCCATTGTTTTATTTTCTGTCACAACTATGGTGAGGTTTGTAACAAAGTTAAAAAGTCACCAGATATTTAAGCCTTTTTTTAATGGAGATGGTTGATCTTTTTTTGGTTGCTCCAGCATTGGCCCACCGTATACCGGCTTCATTCAAAGGAATGAGGGGGCCGCGTTTTGATATTTTATGCAAGGTCTCATCACTTCCTGAATCAGTGAATGCCAACCAGGGGAAGTTGTCCCCACGGGAGCAGTTTGCAGTTACCAGGGTGATGGAAAGATTGTACCGAGCTTCAGTAAATTAATAATACAGCACTGATAAGCCAGTTTAACACCACGTGCTGAGATTGAGAGTGTGATACCTAGTTACAGAGTAAGCAGAGATACTCAATGGATCATCCAATTCTGACACTTCAAGTGGTGCTAATACTACACATTAACATTTGACCAAACCTCTTGAAAACACCGATCCTTATCATTGGATTTTCCGGGCCATTTGTATATAACTAAATTCAGTTAAGTCAAGTAATCAGGGTTGTCAATTAAAACGTATTTAAGCTCATTTTATAATAGGCCAGTCCCGACAATTGCATTTTGACTTATCGTCCGATATATGGATTTGAAATCAATCATATTTGCCAGACTTTATATTTACATAATCATTTATTAGGTATCATTTGAACCAACATGATCCCAAAATGTACACAATAATCTTCGTTTATCATTATATAAGTGGCATAAAATGGTCAAAACATTTCTGGGACAATATTGTCCTACAGAAAATAGTTATCATGACAAACCTTTTGGGCTGTGGTTTGGACATCAGTTTTAAAAATCTAAAAGCGTTTGACAACATGTAAATATTTTAGTTTCTTTCTTTGTTTTGTTTGAGGTTTTTTTGCATTGTTGGTTCAACTTTGAATCAACCCTGTAATCCAATTCAATGTTGGCGACCCGGTCTACCTGCTGAGTGTTA